TTTGAATGCATTAAATATTAATAAACATAGCAATAGACATAGAAATCACTTGAAAATTGGTAACTATGGTTTTGAGAATAAACACAATACCATAAAAAAGTATTTACATTGCTTTATCTTAATCTATGCCCTGTACAGTTAAACTTAAGGAAATGGTATAAATATTAAAGATTGCCTAAGGCTACTACCAAAACTAAACTGGATTAAAATCTCCAAACTCTTTGCTGAAATTCATAATTAAGAGAATTTTAGTAATTTTTAGATCACCAAATTTATTATGTAATTTTGACAATTATCCTCAATCTTGCCCAGAAGTTGAGCTACGAAGACAAAAATTCAAATCGGAAGGAATAAGGTGATTATACTGTTTTCGAATCGAAGCGACTGTTCAACATAAAATGTGTAAATAATTACCGCTAATAAATAGTTTTCTAATTTTAATGTAAGGCTAGAGATAATCAGTCTTAGTCTCAGTTCATTTGTTCTGCTTTTGTTTTCTTTTATAGTTTGATAAGACCATTTATTTGTAATTTAATTTCGAGTTTCTATATTGGTTAATTGGACCGAAATATTCGGTCTCAGTTAAAATAACGGCTCTCAGTATGGACGCTTCCACAATTTCTGAGGATAAACTTTCAGAGATTTGGTAGATGGTGACTAGCAATGAAGTCCATGTTGGGCATTTGGTCTTATTTGGGATTCGTCATATGGGTGCGTCTGCATTGCCCAGTGAGCGACGGTGTTCCCGCTAACACTCAAACTCAGCATCCATTATTTCAAACGCTAAAGCTTCATCTAATAGACCTCTGGGGCCACAAACCCCACATTCTGTGCAGTGTGAATCAGTTATTATTTGTTCTTGTTCATGTTGTTCATTACAAATTATTAATTCACAAGTGATAGATGTAGCTACAAAAGGAGTAATAATCACATACTGATTAACATCAAAGGAAAGCGATGTTGGCTGGCTGAGACTGAAGTATTCTGCAACCTCGTTTACTTACTAATAATTCATAACCAGAAGTCTTAAGAAAAATGTTATCTTCTGTCTGATTTGTATGTGTATATGTATTAGTGCCCCTAGTCAAGATATTGATGATTTGCCGAAAATTAATCGTACAGCGTGTAGTATAATTCCCAGTCCAATAAACAAGTATAACATTGTGTACCATGATACCTTGTCATATGACTAAATGATTAAACTCCTGAAAACTGCTCATATTTGAGTATGAGTATACTTCATACTTTGTCTATCTGGAGGCATAATGTACATGTATAGACATATCAGATAATGGATTCTAATGAATGTTTACAGAAGTATATGAAACTCTTATAGTTAGCTTAAGAGTCATATATATATATATATATATATATATATATATAGCCAACAAATGCCTAGAATGTTTACCCGCTACAGATTTGTTCACTTCAATCCCTCTATCACTTCTCTTTCATCTATTTTGATTATCATTAGACAGAATAATTAGTATCATTCTTAGTAATGCATTTTGAGACCTCAAAACAGAGGGGCCCTTTAACAACTATGTATCCGGAATGATCATATTCACTTAACATACAAGTGGAACTTTGATGAAAAGTAGTTTATTCGGATGACATATTTATGCTTTATCTAACAACAAGCCCCTAACATTCTGCGAATATGCAGACATAAATAAATGCGAAATGCTGCACATGGAATATACAGATACATTAGTCTGACATAATTATAAATATATATTTCAAACAAGAGCAACAGAAAAATAGAAACTAGGTGAAAACACTCTGCAAAATCCTTCCTCCTGTTGAAAAATGGAGTTACTTTAAGTAATTACCACTTATTAAACTACAAAACAAGTTAACGCATCAGTTCACTGATGAGTATCTACTTTAAGCAGGTCATGTTTCAATCGCAAGTTTGTCAACTACAAAAACACGCTGGATTTTATTGATATAAGAATAAAACTTGTGCACTGTGGTAGAGTATAATTCCATTATGGATAACTTTGTTTGGATAAAGTCTTACAGTATTATACAGTCATGTTTACTGATGACGTTTCGAGCACAATTCACTGCTCATAATCATATCAAGGTGATATGACTTTATCAAAACAAATTTTACCCATAATGGAACGCTGAACCTTAGCTAATACATACTCTGCTTGTTTAGTTCACTGATACACTATTTTCTCTTGACACTCTCAGTTTGCTGACAATCTGACATTTCCATAAATTTTTCGTAAATATAATCAATATTCTGTCCACACACACACACACCTTTATCAGCTAAATATCACAATCAAATTTCAATTCTATTAACTTCACTCAATCTTTACACCACTTACTGTGATTTTAAAAAAGAATATTGATCGAGAGGACAAGTATTTAGCGCTTTATAAATTATTGACCTTGACACTAATCAGTGCCAGCGTAGATCAATATTACGAAATTTATAAATAACAGATTATGAATAGCAGTGTTTTATTCATTTTCATGGGTGTGTCATACATGAATTGTTATTTTTTTTTATAAATCTGGTACAGATTAGCAGGTGTATAAATATTTGTTAATTGATCTACATCCTAGTCAGATAATATCTATAACTTACCTATCCTCGTGCAACAACTTTCATTATATCTATTTAAATTCCATTTCACTGATATAATACTGACAAATGCCATCTTTGTTTCAATGAGGATAACCTATTTATTTAGTGAACATAGAACATAGCTGCTACAATTTTGTTTAGCTTAGAAAATAAAATTCAAGTTCACTTTTGAGAAGGCGAGACTAAATAGAGCATATTTAACTAATATAAGAATAAAACTGATATTTAATTATCTATTGTTCATCACAACGCTGAAATTTATGGCATAAAGCTACATTGGCACTGCAGTGAATGAACAGGAGGTGATAATATCAATTAGAATTTCTATATTAGCCCATTATTTCTTTATTATTACTAGGAGAATTGACAACAATGTAAACAGTATAGTCTGAAAAAGTATACAGCAAGCTTTCCTCATTTTCCTGTTAAAAGTGTCCTGGAGAATTTTGAATAAGCGTATATTTTAGAAAGTCTTGATAAAAGTTTACTAAAATTTACTTTTATAGTTTGTTACCATGTTAGGACGAAATCTGAAGTAAACACAGGAAGCAGCTAAGTTTTTATTAAACAGAAATTTACATATGACTAACTTTTTGGAACGACTTTATTGAATACCAATAGATTTTATTTCTCATAGCTACGTTTATACGTGTAATTGTAACGGAAACGCGTTGTCACTTACAGCAATTATGCTAACATGAGTTTATAAGGTCATATTGTTATTTCAGTTTACATCTTTATTTGTCCTTGTTTTTCAAACATTTTCTTTGATGAAATTTGAAATTATAATCTTATGGAGGTAATTGTTTTGAAAGTAAAAAGCGGCTAGGGAAATACTTTACATAAGGGTAGGAAAATTCAGTACAAATGGAAAACATAAAAAGGAAGATAATTTTCTTCCAAAGCAAAAAATTTTATATGAGAAAAAAAATTTCATTGTTGTCCAGTCTAATTTGTATGCCCTTTCATTGTCCATCAAGAGTAGTCCTTTAATTGTCAGTTAAATCTCATCAGAAAGTCACGAGTAACTAATGTTTAACTTGTCAGGCTTCAAGTACATTTTTTCTGTCTTCTAGTTATCCTCACACGATATGTCATAGTGAAAGATTGCTAGCTATCGAAAAAGTACACAGAACCTCAGTAATGCTGTAAGTGATTTTCATCAAGATGTTGAAAACTTCTACATGCTGGATTATTTATCATCGATTTAAATTTAGCACGCTCTAATCACAACGTTAATTTATTGTGAAAAGATAAATGCATATTCCTTTGTTTAAATATCTGATTAATGTTCAGATATCTACAAAACCAGTGAATGAGATGTGAACAGCATAACTGATTGTAAGTCGAACATGTAAGAACTTACTGTATTCATTCAGCTGCCGCAATTTACATGGTTGACTTTATCCGATGTCCTGTTGTATAAATGAAAGGACAAATATTAAGCCATAAATTTAAGAAACTTCTGAATGTGTGCTCTAATAAATCTTTGTGAAGAGAATCTATTTTTGTTAACATTACAGACGCATACCTTTCATCCTGTATCATATCCTAAGTACTATGAGAAACGTGAACAGAGTAGTACACTCATAACATTTGTTACATTAACAAAAGTACACAACATATACCAGTTTTACACGACAAAATGGATAATGTACAAATCCTTTTTGAAATATATTTCGCTTTCATTATGTAGACAAGTAAATCTACTCTATAATCTAAACTAATAACTGCCAGTATGCTACCTAAGATATAAGGTACACCTATTTGTTCAGTTTGATCCTTCGTTCATTGAGATTTATTGGTGCTGGGAATTAGATTATGTCAATTTATACTGTGACAGCCCCTAACAAAAATTCACATCAATTAAACAGTCAGATAACATTTTTCATCCATTTTTAATAGTGAATATAAGTAATTGGTAAAGTCGCCTTCAGTCCTAAAATATGCTAGTAAGAAGTGTAATTTATACCACAGTTTAATAGAAGCGACTGTATTAAGTGCACTGCATTGAGAATGCTGACTATCTAACTAAGCGGAAATATAGATGGTAATTCTTTCTCTTCCAACCCCGTAAGTATTTACTCAATTAAATGCAAAGAATAACAAAAGTTGTTTAAGTATATCAGTGGATTCATGTATACAGTAGCCAGTAAATAAAATAAGCTGTGATTGCACTTTATCTTCAGCATAAACTATCTGAATTTGTTTTTGCTATAATTCTTCTCCTTGGAGAAACAGCAGATTACCAGAATGAAAAATGCTTCTTTTTAAAATCAATTTCTTTGATTCTATGCCAGCACCAAAATTTATCCAGTCAACACTAGTTTATGTTTGACTTCTCTAAACATATCTGTCCAAGTTCAAAGTAATTCTGTTTTATTTTCATTTCCAGATCTAATGTATAAAGCATAACACAATTTATCAAGAAAGACATACCGTTCTGGAAGACGTAAAGATCAAGGTTTTATCAACAATTCACTTTTATACATTATTTCATTCTTCCTAACCTGAAGTCTACTTTTTGCATAATGAAACATTTTGAACGACTTCAATATCATATTTACTGTTGTTTAGTTTGTATGGCACTTATATGCGGTCCTGTTTGATAAATGTCAGCAGATTGTTCTGATAATGAAAATATAGAATCTGGTCATTTACCCACTGAAGAACTTGCAGTAACAGCCACTTCACATCCAGAACATAGAATCCTGCAATTTTCATCAACGGAAACACTACCACTTGCACTCCCTGTTTCAGTGACACTGTCTTCAACGACAGCAATCCCCCTACAAACAGAAATTGAACAGCAAGAAGACACTCGTCACGGTTATCAGGAGTCCTTCGAGCTCACTGAAAATAGAGAAAAGTTGCAAGACTGTATTGAAGTGAATTCGTCAATTAATCCGCTCTCAGCAGAAGAAATTTCAGATAAAGAAAACAGCGGAGAAATTATGACAAGTCATGATAATAGAAGAGATATTTCACCTGAATGGATACCGGAACAACATTACAATGTTTACACTTGTTCCAATGTTACACCAAGTTCTCAATCGGTTTTGCAGCTAAGACAGTATTACACAAATTTGGAACAGTCTACAAAACTAAGTGGGTCTAGGATAACAGAAAGTAATAATATTGAAAATAATCTTAATAACACTGAAAGAAAATCCATCCGCAAATTAAGACGTAACACATTTGATAAATCCTCTCAGCCTTCGAGTTTAAACAGCCAAATAAGTCAGATAGACCCTGTAGAAGCATTTGGTCTTCAGAAAGATGAGAAGGTCCGCATATCAGTTGAAGAGTTGCGGAAATTATTCGAGTCAGGGGCATTTAATGATTACAGTAGAAATCAGAAAGCCGGTGAAACAACACCTGTATCACCAGAACAAAATGAGCATTCGAACCATTTGAATCGATCTAAATCATTTGAACCAATAAAATCCGTTCCAGCTAATTCTGTGGAATTTCACTCACGTCCACCGAAATTTCGTACACCTAGTCCAAAACCATGCAATCTGCCTACACCACCTCCACTACCTTTACCACCATCTATGGAGTACGTCGACAAGTCATATGAGATTACACATGAAAGTGACATAAATAAACCAAAGAATAAGATAAGACATAAAAACAAAAACTATTCATCGTGTTGGAGTCAGCCAGCAAAACCAATACTGTCAATGAGTCTGCCTTATCGTTCAAGATCTTTAGCTCTTGATCGAAAATCTGAACCTATCCATACAAACAGAGGAAGTTCATTATCACGTTACCGGGCATGTTCAATCACTCAGCGTTCTTTGTCTCCATTGCCTAATTCTGTATTAGTAAAAGAAGAACAGCTTAAGGAGCAAGCACAGAATACATCTTCAAAGTCCACAAACAATAAGAACCCGAGGATGAAAACATTTACAAATACTAGTAAAGGACTAAATACAAATTTAGAATTGGGCAAACAGAACGTCAACCAAGCTTTAGTTCATTATGATGAATATAATTTAAAACCGGACCAGATTGTTTGTGTAAATCCTTCTTCTACCGACGGTGTATACGTTAGATCAGCTGTAGTTTATGAACGTGTGAACGACAAACCTTTTCCGACAGAGCCTAAAAATTTCATCACGACTTACGTAGTATCTAAATGGCCAAGTCCTAGTCAAGCGACGGTCCAAGCGACAAATTTATGGGTTGCTGAACAGTCTCTACAGCAGTATAGGCAGAAGACATCTACACCTTACAGATCTCAAACCATATCGAAAGGTAATACTACAGTTCCGTCCAATGAACCAAAGGCTATACAACCCTATGACAAAGGTCGAACCCGTAGTCCTGTTCATTTAAAGAAAACCACAATACAACAAAAAGATCGCAGTTCAGTAACTCAGCCAAGAATAAAATTTGATCAGTGCGATCAGAGACATGATCACGTCAGAAATACATCCTTGTCTCCTCAACCATTACCTACTCCACCACCTTCTGAGTTACACCCACAAATACTGAGATGCACAAGTGGTCAGTGTAGCCCAACACGTCAAAGACGTATTTCTCAACCCTGCATAAGTAAACCAACCCATCTTGATAGAAATCAATTTCCTACACGACATAGACCTTATTTAAGTCGTTCGTGGTCGGTGAAATCTTTATCACCTCGTCCACCTTTCCGGAGTCAGTGGCTGAGTTCAATGAGTCAGTCAAGAAGCAGGCAAAAAATATTTGATAAATCTTACAGCCTAATCCAAGAAGGGCATCACAAGCCATGTGGAGAAAAAACTTATAAACAATATCAAAGCGAGGAACTAAACAGAATTATTAACTGTACTAAGCATAGAAGTTGCGTTGAGTCACACCGTGTGGAAAATGCACGTCGTTTTAGAGACAGACAAAAAAAGCAATGGGTCAGACGTGCTGAAGAAATCAGTGAAGATAGACTAAAATATCACGAGCTTCGAGGAAGCTGGTCGCCACCCGGTATGCGAAGTCCACCACGCTTAACACCAAATAACATGGAAGAATGTACAGAAAGAGAGATTCAACGCTACGTTAGACAACACTCGCCACCAGCCCGTTCACCACGTGTTGCATTTCCTAGGTACTCATCTTGTTATGCACAAGAATATGTTAAATCTTTGGATAAAGGTATACAATGCGATAGTGTTGACGGATATGACAACACATGTGAAAGACTGGGACAGTTTATGAATGACTGTGTAGATACTACACCAATAGCGGAAGATTTTGATAGAAAACGTGCCTATTTTGAAGAACTAATAAGAGTGAACCGAAATTTAGCTCAGTGCTCATTCTGTTCTGACTGCTATCATTGTTCCCCTGGGCAAACGCCTAAACTGAGCGCTTATTCAAGCTGGGATTCCGAAATCAATAACTTAAACAGTCAAAACAATTTACTCGTGAAACGTGATTGTTATACAAAGAATCAAGCAACTAACCATCACCAACAGCACCACAACGAAGAATATCATCATTCACAGCAGCAACAGCTGACTTATTTCAAAAAGCCAATGCAAAATTTAGATTATAGCTATCATGAGTACAGCAATAATAACAACCATTATTCTAGTGTTAAATATCAAAATAGGAATGATAACAATAATAAGAGTATTTACCCAGTTACTCTGAGTGAACCTCAGCAGTATGCCTCTAATACTTATCTGCCATTTGAAAACCATGTATATGTTGAACAGGATTCCTACTACCCCTGTTTAGACAAAAGTTTAATGAATTATCCTAACATCAGTTCTACGAAACATGATTATTATGCAAAAGCTATGAACTCCATGCCAAAAGTTGCTCCTAATCCACCTACATATTGTAATAACAACTACAGTAACATGTATAACTACTACACACCCTATGAATCGGTGGTTCGCTATAGAAATATATCGCCGTTATGTGTAGAGCTGGAGGGTTCACCAAATATTACATCACCACATAATCCATCCGTTAATCCACGTTCTCACATCATACGAAAAACAAATCATTCACCACCGTGTAGATTTTCCTCGTATACAACAAATCAGCAACACAATCTAATGAACTTTCGACCTCACACACAGCAGTCAGATCACCAACTACGACATGGTGACTCATTGGAAAGTTTACACTGTGAACAAAATGAGTATGCGGAGGATCAGCTAAAATATTATGGTAGAGTAAAACAAATTGTTCAAGTATTGGACAAACAAGCTGCTGAATTTAACTCACACGTTAATCCAGTCGAATCAGTAGCTAGTCCTAATCGACATCGACCATTAAGACGCAGTCATAGTGACAGATTCTCTTACCTAATGCCACGAACATCATGGTAGTTTTATAATAGTATCAAGTTATAATTTAGCTGAAGACCAACATTATTCATATACTGTACTTCAATCAAATAATCCAAGAAAACCAATGCTTATGTCTTTGTGCTTCTTATTCATTTTCTTGTTTACTCTTAAATGTTGTATGAATACTTAACATGAAGATAATTTCAGGAAGAAAAAAACAGCAAAACAACGATCTAGGATTTTCTGGCTGTTTCAATTTATTTTACTCTAATTGTTTAGTCTTCACATTTTAATAGTTTCCTTAGTTATAATTATCCTATTAATAAGTGAATGAAACACTTGGTAAAATATATATATGTACTATTTTTCAGTATACTGTTAGTCAAAAAAGACAGAAAAAAATTAGCTGAAAAATTTAAATAAAGGAATGGAAAGATGATGAAAATTTGGAATTTATTTTAATATCTGTTCAAAGTGATTACTGATGTTATCTGTTAATTTGCTTATTTTAACAATAAAGTCTTTCTGGCTATTACCTGAGTTTTGAAAATTAATCATACTGCTCAAGCGTTGTTTAAAGCTTTTCTGGATAACAACAAAGATGTTGACCATGCTGTTAAACGGTAATGGTATTTTGCCAAGATATAAGGAATATGATGGGAACTTGGTGGCAGCTTTGATCGATATTACTAATTAATGTACAAACAGCCTATGGTTATGAGGATTAAAAAAATTATCTTTTTTTCGATAACGTCATCACCTGAGATGTCATTCCAAACTGCCTATACTTTAAAGAAAACAAAAGAGACTAAGACACTTTCGATTTTTTCTAGTTTAAGAAGCTATTAATGTAAGTTATACACAAACTTATGACTAGTTTCCATATTATATAAAAAATTGTTTCAACTAAAGAAGAATCGTCAAAAAGGAAAGTTTTTTTCATATTTTATATTAGATTTATGAAAAACAATACATGTTTCACCTGTAGTGTTGTCACAGATACGATTGCTGGTACCTAGTGCACTGTTCATTATACTTCAAAAGCTTTTGTGAAAGTTGAAACTCTCGAATTTACTGCCGGGACATCACTGCAAAAATCTAATGTTGGGTATTACCTTTTAATATTCACCTGAGAAATTGAATGTTTGTTTCTTGGTGTGACTGTTCAAATTAATCGCACTAATCTCCTTTACTCATTTGAACTAATTTTTCTCACATTGCTCCTGTAAATTTGAATTAATTGGTAACAACTTATTGTCATTTACTATTATAATTATTGTTCCCTTAAGTTCCTAGTGGAACAAAGGCCTTCAACTGCACGTCTCCACTTGCTTACGTCTTCTGCTGTACTTTTCACCTGCGTCCATCTTAGTCCATACTGTTTCAACTCCCCTTCACACGATCTCCTCCATGTCACCCTTGCACTGACAACCACGTCCCACTCGCCGCTTCCCTTTCGGGTTCCACTCAAGCGATGGCCTGACGCGCGCGATGTCACTCAGTGGCCTCCTCAGCGAGTGTCTAATCCATCTCCACTTTCTCCTGCATATTTGCTGTTGGTGGGCGATTGCTTCTTGTTTTGTTTCTTCCCAGCCATAGTTTCTTGTTGGTGATTATTTCCGGCCCAGCCATCTGATCTTCAGAATAGATCCAGCGAAGATAGTTGTTGATAAACGTCTGCAACAGACTGTTGGGAATATTCTTTGTGACTCACCCGCCAAGTTTCTGATCCGTATAGAAGAACTGGCTTGACGTTTGTATTGAAAATCCGAATATTGTTGTTGATGTTGAATGACGAAGATTTCCAGATTGGTTTCAGGTTGATGAATGTGTTTCTCGCCTTCCCGACTCTCGATTTGATATCCTCATCCATTCCTCCTGTAGTTGAGACAATGCTTCCTAGATAAGTGAGTGAATGAAGTAACCTCTTTCAAATCCCTCCCGTTGATGGTGATTGACGCTGGACGTTGCTGCTGTTGTTGTTGTTGGTTGGTTATTTTCATCACCTCCATCTTGTCTACGTTCACCTGGAGTCCTGTCTTCGCCAGCTGCTTCTTCTACCAGTCTGTCGGTTTTCGCTTGTAAACCCTTGTCTGACTCCTGTGTTCACTCCAAACGCCTCGCTGAGTTTTCCGTTGTGGATCACTTGACATGTGCCGTTGTCGTACAGCTGTTGAATAAGGTTGATGAATATTTGGGGTGCGCCATAGTACTCGAGTAATTTCCAAATTACTTCACGATCAACGCTGTCGAAGGCCTTCTCAAAGTCTATAAAGTTGAGGTAGAAGTTTGGTTGCCATTCCATGCTTTGTTCTGTGATGATGATGCCTAGAGTTGCAATTTGGTCAGTACATGATTTGCCTTTCCTGAATCCAGCTTGTTTCAGTAAGGCGGAGTTCTCTATTCAGTGCGTCCTTTATTCTCTCCAGGATGATGCGACTCAGGATTTTACTTGGCGTCGACAGGAGCGTGACTCCACGCCCTTCTTTGGTAGTTTCACGAGGTAACCTTTCCTCCAGTCAGTAGGCACCTTTCCCTCCTTCCAGACCTTTTGCAATAATGGAGTCAGCATGTCTGCTGTAGTCTCTGGGTCCGCTTTCAGTGCTTCAGAGGGTATTCCATCTGGTCCAGCTGCTTTTCCAGCTTTCAGAAGCTTGATTGCATTCAAGACTTCAGCTCTCGTTGGAGGATTGGTGTCAACTTGCAGTTGTGTGCGCGCTGTTGTTGGTATTTCTGGACGGGTTGCAGGTGATGGTCGGTTCAAGAGTCCTTTGAAGTGATCCGCCCATTGTTTAATCTGTTTTTCTTCCTTGGTAATTGGGTTCCCTTGGCTGTCTTTTATAGGTTTCGCTTGTGTTGATCTCTTCCCGGATAGAGATTTGGTTATCTGATATAGTGTCCTCAGGTCCCTTTTGCCTGCTGCCTTCTCAGCTTCAGTAGCTAGATTGTCGTAGAATCGTCTTTTGTCCTTCCTAGCACTCTTCTTCACTTCTTTGTCCAATGTTGTGTAAGTTGAGCTCAGCGTCTCCTTCTCCTGTCCGTCCTTGCATTGAATCATTTTCTCTTTCACCATTCTCCTCTCTTCTATTAATTTCCAAGTGTCCGTTGAGAGCCATTCCTTGTCTTGTCTCTTCTTTCTTCCTAGAACCGTTGAACACGTTTCGTTGAGAATCGCCTTCAGAGACTTCCAATGTTCTTCCACGCATGATTCTTCAGTGATGTCGCGTAGTGTTTCCTGCTTTGCTCTGACAGTTGCAGTGAAGGTGTCTTTTGTGGTTGTGTCCTTCAGTAATTGAGTGTTGAACTTGCATTGTGGCCTATCCCCAGCTATCCTCGAGGCTTTTAGTTTCACCTTGAAAGTCCCTTCTACTAGATAGTGGTCTGAACCCACATCTGCTCCTCTCCTTGACCTTGTGTCCAGTAGGCTCCGTCTCCACTTTCTTGAAATTGAGATGAAGTCTATTTGATTCTTGGTGTTTCCATCTGGTGAAATCCATGTCGTCTTGTGTATATCCTTGTGTTTGAACACACTACCGCCAATCACCAAATCATTGAAGGCGCAGAAGTCTGAGAAGAGTTCACCATTGTCGTTCATTTCACCGAGGGCCTCGTGACCCATGGTGAGTTCTCTTCCTATCTTCGCATTCATATCGCCCATCAGGATTTTGATATCGCCATTTGGGACGTTGTCCATTACTGTTTGTAGTTGTCTGTAGAAATCCTACTTCCTCTTTTGTTCTGAGACGTTTGTAGGCGCATTGCACTGAATGACTGTAACCTTCCTTCCTTTTGAGTTGAACCTGGCTGTCATTATCCTGGAGGAGATTGGTTCCCACTGCATGAGAGCTTTGGCTGATGTTGGTGACATCATGATGGCCACTCCCTCGGTGTGCTCGTGGTTGTCCTCTGGGTGACCGGAATAAATTACCGTCTCTTCACTTGATAGTTGGCGCCTACCACATCCGTTCCATCTGCTCTCGCAGATTCCCAACACTTCTATTCCACATCTTCCCATATAAGCGGCTATCTGGGCAGCCTTTCCAGTTTCGTACATTGTACGAACATTCCAAGTACCCATCCTTACTTTTGCTTCCATCGAAAGAAGGCACATCGGCTGACTGGCTTCCCGAAGGCTTTCACCAGCCTGCGTCATTTCACCTCCCCGATTCCAGAGAAAAATAAGGTTATTGTTTATATTTTTAGAATTTTTAATATATTTGTGCGTTGAAGTTTCTGTAGCGATTTGGTTAAGTTTTGGGGGTGGAACTGCTAGCACCACGCCCCAACCCTCCCTCTTTATCCGGGCTTAGGACTGGCTAGAAAACTAGCGAGCTAGTAATCTAGGCGGGGTTGTTATTTATTCTTAGTCATTGTAAATCTAAAAATCCATTCAAAAATAATGTCCTATAAGATTTTATAAGATGGCAGGAAAGAATCAGATCGACCTAAGAACTTATTCAAATATTACACAAAAAATTTTATCATTCCAATAAACAGTTTAGTAAATAAACTATTATTTGTGCCAAGCCAAAGAATGTGGTGAAGATAATATTCAAAATGAAGGTAAAATAATGAAAAAATGCGTTGGGGGATTGGACCTTGCTTCAGACGTAACAACACTCCTTCCCTTACTTTACTGTAGATTACTGGTTTACTTAAAATTGCTATGCAAAGAGGGAGTATTTTGAAATTAAAGATGCTGAGAATTCTGTGCAATGTTTTTAAAAATGTGTCGAATACAACGGCTATTATTATTATATTATTTAAAGTATAAAGCCATGATTTACATCTCAAAAGAAATTAAGTGGTTGATTATAAACTTGAGAAACTGCTATCAAAAAGACGAACTAAATGAAATGACTCACCACATGTAGAAGTTATGGATGCATTGTAGAATTCATTCTTGACATATTAGTTCTACAGCATAACTATATCTTATCTTATCGTGCACTTAATAAACTGAACTGGCTATCAATATAAAGTGGTGCCAACTACAAAAATACTGACAACAAAAGTGATTTTTTGAAAATCTTCGGCCTTTCAGTATTTCGAAGACCTATTTCGTAAACTACGGGGACCGGGAGCTTTTTGTTTGATGTCAAGCATTCGGCTATCCACCTAATGGCACGGAAAATCTTGGTATGATTTTGCGCTGTAGAAGAGTTTCACGCCTCTCCGTTAATTTTCAACCAAGTCCCTTTGTTTATTTGGATGGTAAACAAATTTGTAGGATACTTTTTTCTTTGAATGCACCACCAAAAATTTCCATCACTTAGTTTAGAAAACAATATTCTTTCTCCAATTCTTACTAACGTTCTCAAAATTATAATGCGGAAACACGTTCCTGGTTGCCAGAATCTCGAGTTACGAGATTGAGTAATTATTGATAGTAATTTTGAGTCTAACACTTTAGCATATGTATACAGTTGACTTCATTCTCCACGAAAATCATTGCTCATACCATACTTTGGTAGTAATTTCACAATTCAGGAATTTATGCTATTTATTTTAATTTGCTGGAATGAATTAAT